CCCCAAAACCCCAAAACCCCAAGAACCATTATTATGGCGAATAAAAATGTATTATGATTAATCTTTTCATTAAAGTATTCAAATAAAATAATGCATCACAATTTCATTCAAATTTTCGGAATAGCTTACTCAACTTCAAAATCTCATTATCTAGACCCACTGAGACTAATAGAATCATCATCTTCGCTCTCACTATGATAATCATTACCTCTAGAGTTATTAAAATTAATCTAACTACGGTTAATCTAAACTAAATCCCTCTATTTTTCCTCCAATAGCTTTTAAACTTACTTTTTCAATTCCTATATCTCTAAATGATCCTAGAAATGCTAATCATAGCTGAATTTTTATTTAATTTCCTTCATATTATACCTTTTATTTTTTATTTCATTCTATTCAGACAATAGTGATAGCTCGAATGTTTCAAATCTGCGCTATAATTTCTTTTCAAAAAGGTGTTAGTTCAACTTTTCCTAAATTAGACTAACTACTTTGAAAAATACTAGCATACCTCCTATCTGCGATAGGCTTTCAAATAGGGTCCTTGGAATCTTTGTTATAACTACTCCCTCGTCCACATAGTAGATACGAGCTAGCAGTTAATAGACTTACAGTTTCAAGTCTGAATTTTCATAAAAAGGAAGTAGTTTTTATGTTGAACCATCACATTGTGGATATACTTGTGATTCAAACTCGTAATCTTAATACCACAGCTTAGCAATTTAGTTAGTTTTTTTAACTAGAAAGAATTGGTTATAAATTTCGTTATCAAAACCTGGGTAAATAGTAGAATTTACTCGTGTTATTTTAAGTTAATCACCGGTATATAGGTACATGTCTGTATGATAATAAAAGTAAATGTTTTTCAAAATGTAGTCCTCTTTATTGTGAATAAAAATCTTTACCGAATAGTATGCATTTCCCTTTATCTTTAAATCTGAATAAACTTTGAACTTGACAAATAAAATTCCAAGCCGAACATCTTCATTTCTTATAAAGTCACACTCTTTATGATATCTTATGGTTTGAAGATCTTCTTCTGAGATCATATCATCTTCATAGAGGAACACAATAGTCAAATTAGGATTATTACAATCTAATCTATAATCATTTGGAAAATTTTAGTGAATTATGAGAGTAAGGTTTAAATAGTCATTCAGTTGGCTTATAGTCTAAGGATAATCATCTAGGCTGATAATGTCTTGTTTAATGCTAATATTGTATTGACTTCTTTCAAATGTACCTATTAGAATAATGCTGCTGTAGATTAGGAGGAATATTCCTGCTAAGAGACTAAATAGGCCTGATATTGGAGATGAGTAATAAGTCTGGTTATCATAGTAGAGACCACTTCTAAATTTACCTGCTGACAAGCAAGACAGGCATTTTATAACAAAAGAAACACATTTTTTTAAAAATCCCATTTGCAGCAATTTAATTCAATTATTTTATCCATTTAATAAGTTATTTACAGAATTACCTAAATAATTCAATTCAATCCCCTAGGGGTTTTGGGGTTTTGGGGTTTTGGGG